TCTGGCTCCTGAGGGAGCCTTCTGCAGGCAGTCTTTACTGAAGAAATGTCCCTGTTCTAAATGGCGATGCGGGACGCACTCCTGCACGTCCGGTCTCAGGCACACTCTTCTGCATGCCCGGTCTGCCCCGGCTGTGGGTGCGCTCCCCTGTGGGCTCAGAACTGTGGTCTGAAGGGCCTGGGGTGGGCTAACTTCCCAGCTGGCCACGGGCTCCTCCAGGAGCCTTCTGCTGGTCAAGCAGTCTTTCTGAAGAAAGGTGTTAGTGACTTTTTTTCTGGTCACTAGGTGCGCCAGAGATCTCTCCTAGAGCCTTGGGGAGCTGTGTTTTTCACCCCGTGGGACAGGGAACAGAGTGGGAATGGTAGGGAAAAACCTCAACGGCTTTGGGGTGCTGTGTCTGCCTTGTGCCCAACGACGTGGAGGGCCCACGCCCCGAATTTCGTGCCCCGGGTCTCAGTTCAAAGCCCTCAGGTCCAGGACGTGGGCTGTAGCCCAGTTCAGTGGCCCCAGGAATGGCGCCTTTTGCACCCTCTCTCCCGTGTCCGGGGCCTGGTTCCTGATTACTCAGTGAGGGACTTTCACCTCAGTGAGGCCCCCGCGTGTCTCCCGCAAGCCTAGGTCGCAGGCGCGGGACCTGGGCAGCCGCGATCCTGATCCACGTTGCTTTTCAAGCGCGCCGCTTTTCCGAGCAAGCTTACCGGCCAGCCCAGGGCTGTGTGCAGGTCTCCAGAGTCTTTGTTGTTCTCTAATGGCGCCTGGAGCCGTCGCTCACCACCGTGGTGAATCCTGCAGGGTTCTCCACAGCTCCCGTTCACGGGTGTGGTGGCTGAAGTATTTCCTTTCCACTCCCAGTCCCACTTGCTGCGTAGTTTGTTCTTGTTCATTTTAGTTTGTTTTTTTCCTCCTCTCTGTTGGTTTGGAGAGTGCCGACTTTGTGGGTGGGTGGGGGGCAGGTTCTGCGCTTTCCTCCCTTCTAGTCCTCTTTTATGGCAACTTTCTTCTTCGGGTAGTTTGCTGGAGTCGTCCATTTATCTTCCGTGCCCCAGTTCTCATTGGGACCTGCCGCTTTTCCTCCCTATTATTTTTTTTTTAATGGGAGATCTTACTCGCAGCGTCTCCTCGCCGCCATTTTGCTCCGCCCTCCTATTTATTTATACATGAACCAGGGTACAGACCAGTTGCCAGGGAGGGTGAGAGGATTCACCAGAGACAGAGTGGCAGACTGACTGTAGGCCAAATGGTTTTCAGGCTTTTCTGCCCTCCACCATCAGGACTGCCCTGCCTGATGGGGCACCTGCAGTTGTTACATTGTAGCAAACTGTCTTCTTTACTTCTGTGGGCCATGAGAGGAGTCCTGAGAGATAGTCACCAAGAGAAGCAGAAGCAGGAGAGAGGAGAGAGACAAAGAGACAGAGAGAGAGAGAAGGGGAGAAAAGAAGCCAGAGAAGCCCAGAGTGAAGACTTAGGGCTTGGAGGCCTGCCGCCCTCTTGGCCCCCTGGCACCCCAGCCTGCCGTGTACCTGGTTGCTGCAATGCATGTAAAGCTCAATAGAAGCTTGAGAAAGCCACTGAGGACTCCAAGACTCTCCTTTACCTGTCTGCCAGATCAGAGAACCTGCACTGTGCTGTGCCTATCCTGCCACTACACTGCTGAGGGGAGCAGCGGGCGCCACAGGAGAGGTCTGCAGTGCCATGTGGGACCCTCGTTAGCGGCCGGGATCGAACTGGCACTGCAGAGGCTGTGGACAGCTTCACAAGGCTACACTCAAACGCCTGGGTCAGTAGGGAGGCCCTCAAATTTATATTTTTAAGAGTGACTTGTTGGCTTTAACTTTCTTTTTATGTACCATGAGGTATACAGGAGAGACACATTAAGATCTTATTTATAGTTCGCTTATTCCTGGACTCTCACTAGAAATCTGATTTTGGGGCCTCCGGTGGCACAGCAGTTGAGCACTGGGTTGCGTGGCTGGCTGGTTCGATTCCCGGCTGCCGTTCGAGGTCCCACATGGGCTCAGACCTCTCCTGCCACCCGCTGCTCCCCTCAGCAGTATACTTGGTTGGTCTGCCTGCTCTGCTCTCCCCTCTGGCTCTGGTGAAATCTCTCACCCTCCTGCGCTTCTGACTGTACCCAGTGCTTGTATAAATAAATAAATAAATCTCTAAAAAAAAAAAAAGAAATCTTAGGTTGGGAATTTAACTCGCAAGAGCTGAATTTTCACTCTATAGTTTTAGCAAGCTAAGTAGTTTTAACAAAACTTTACACAGACCCGATAAGCAATTTGGAAGTTTTCTCAACCATTAAGTGTCCTGTATAGATTATTAGAAGTCCAAAGTAACTTAGCAATTTTTACAATAAACAGTCAGATTTTAAGATTAGGAAAACACAGGGAAATAGAAATTTATACCCATAGTATTTGTAGTGTAGTTAGTATTGCTAGTAAAGAGAGTGAAGTTAGTATTGCTGGTTGAGTTAAGTTAGCATTGTCAGTATTTAGTGAGGTTTAGTGAATACTTGAGTACTATTAGTACTAGTACATTTATTAATATCGTAGGAGAGTCAGTTGTCAGTGGAGGTAGCACAAGGGCAGTGAGCACAGTCAGGGCTGGTGAGTGCTGACCCGAGAGGGAAAAGTCAGGCTGGCAGACTTCGGAATCAGCATCCAGGGCTTCAACCGGGCGCTGAGCACGTGCTGCTGTCGCCCAGAACACAGGGACCCCGTGGTCTACCTTGGCCAGAGGTACAAAGGCCCCAAGGTGGATGTGTGGAGCCTGGGCATCATGCCCTACCAAATGGTGACCGGCACACTGCCCTTCAGGGGGCCCTGCCTCAGGGCGATCAGGGAGCGCGTCCTGGGTGGGAACGTCCACCTGACCTCCTACCTCACGGTCCAGGGCGGGGACCTGCTGGCCAAAATGCTGGCACGGGACCCCTGGAGGCTCCGCCCCCTGGAGAGCATCCAGCAGCACGCCTGGGTAGCAGAAACGAGCAAGGACTCCTGCCCTTCAGCGAGCCGTCACTCTGCCCCCAGGACCCAGCCATAACCAAAGGTATGGAGCGCCTGGGCTACCAGAGGCAGGAAATTCGGGAGGCCATTGACGCTACAAGTACGATGAGGTCATGACCACCTACCTGATCCTCCGCTCCAGGAAGCAGGCGGGGGAGGAGGACTATGAGGAGGAGGGGAGGAGCAGCCGAGGCGCGTCACTTTCCAGGTGCCGAAGTGCGTTACCTTCCGAGAGCCTGGTGACCCGAGGTTTCGGGGAATACCCCAAGCCAGTTATCCTGCGAAAGCACCCAGTGCAAAAGAGCGGAAAGGATGCCCACCCGCCCCTCCCGCAGCCTGAAGTTTTGGGGAATGCCCGAAGGGCAGGTATCCTGCGAAAGCAGAAGTCCAAAAGAGGGGAAAGGATGCCACCCCGGGCAACAGGGTCATCTCCGCCAGGTCCCTGAGCTGGAGGACGCCCAGAAGCACACCACTGCCACAGGGCCAGGCCCCCTGCTAGAGGACACCCCAAAGGGCAGACCCTCCATGCTAGGCCCAGAGCTGGAGGATGCCTGGGGGGACACCAGCACCTCTGTGGCCAGACCCCAGCAGGAGGACACCAGGGAGCACAGCAGCACCTCGGTGTCAGTCCTCCAGCTGGAGGACGCTGGGGAGCACAGCAGCACCACTGAGACAGGCCCCCAGCTGGAGATGGACCAGGAAAGCAGGGCCAACACAATCTGTCCAGCTCTCCAGCCCTGCAGCAACACCCTAAGATGTCTCCCAATATGTGGCTGGCCTTCCAGTGCAGTGGCCCCTTCAGCAATCATCAGGGCCAGAGACAGAGTATTAGAAATTATCCTGGAATTTTGTTGCTGCTGTGCAGCATTGGAACTGGAGAGCAACAAAGATTGAAAATAGCGCCATAGCTGGCAGAAGACACCCACCCCCAAAGCACTACCACTCAGTGGCCATGGGGAACAGGAGTACACCAGGGAAGGTTGAGGCTCTGGAGAGGCCCAGGGGCTGGGCCCAGTCAGAGGGCCAGGAGCAGCATGAGACTCACAGGACTGCAGCACAGAAGTCTGGGCAGCACAATTGTCCCTGGAGCACAGATGTCCCTGGAGCAGAGCAGGTGAAGGGCCAGGCGGGCAACAAAACTGGTGAAGCACCTGGAGGGGAGAGAAGTGGGTGAGGGGTATGGTGTGGAAGGGTTGGGGAGAGGTGAGCAGGTACAGGACCAGGAGAGGGGTGTGGGGCTGTGTGGGCAGAGCCTCCAGTGGCCCCAGGGCCAGAGGCGGGGAACCCTGGACCTCTCTCCCATCTTAGGTTCTGCCCCTTGGTAGGAGAGACCTGCTGCTCACCCCTGGGCACACGGATGGTGCAGAGGATGCAGGAGCTCTTGCAAAGGCTTGGCCCCAGGTGGTAAAACGTGCAGATTGCAAGGAGCAGATAGAGAGGCTCTCTAGCTCCCCTTAAGAAAGACTCGGGGACCAGTATATTAGAATCCAAATGGGACTCTCC